TATATATGTGTGTGTGTGTGTGTGTGTATGCAACTACCTGATACGGATTTATAAGTACAGTACCTGCATATTGTGGTTAAAGTGCAGCTCCGTCGCCACCCACTCCCGGGCTGCTCGATATTCATCGTGAAGTCCCATGATCAAAAGCGTATCTGCTCCATCCAGTATCGTGGCACCCATTGAGGCACCTGCGAGCGCACAGTTCTCATGAGCTTACGACCACGCGACCTTCATTATGTGATGCAGCTGTCAACAACAAAACAATGATCGCCAGTATATATGGCCTCGTGTAGTATTGTAACATCGTTAGATATCGGAGACTACACACGGGAGACAGATCTCCACTTTGTAAAGTCCTACGCATGATCGAACGTATATAGCGATAACAATAAAGCTTAGTGGACCTCACTCGTTTAAAATCGGGACACGATTGGGACACCAGCACATGTATTCATAAATCTTGTCGATTTGTATTTTTTTTTAAACAGATGAACGTTTACAGCGATAGGTATAGCAACGTTGTGTCTGACTTAGCAGTATCATGGCATCCAATGAGATACCTGAGAGCACAAATGGAAACTACCCACCCCTTTCCTGACCACCCTCCTTTCGAAAGTTACTAATCAAATCGTATCAGCATGCGAGTTTGTATATAGTTTGTAGGTTCGAGTGGTGGACGGCAGGGGCCCTCCTACACTCCCCATCGTCTAGTACCAGACAAGCTGCCATATAATATCTTGCTATACTTCGCTACGTACATACTTATGTCCGCGAAGTGTATTATTAACATGTCAACACAGGGCACAAAAAACGGTATCAATGAAAATATCTACACACCCAAATATAGATCCACCTACCTTTATATAGACTATTATCAAACCCGCCAGAGCCGGGCTTGATCTCGTTCTGACCCCAGGCCTTGTGTGCGTAGTTGCTCCAGGCCCACTTTGTCATATCGCGCACTTGATCGCGCACAGCGCCCCAGTCAATGACTAGGTGTTGCTGGTACTTTTGAATCCGTGCACTCGCCTAATTACATGTTTTTTATACGAATAGAGCATATGATTTAGGGTTTAGAATTTACTAGGCACGACTATATCATATCTCACCCCTGTCATTGGCTATGAGTGACTGGTACCCATGCAGTCGAGCTCTCGCCCGGTTCTTATGTGTTTATATATACAAGGTATTAGGGTTTAGGGTTTAGGGTTTAGGGTTTTAGAGTTGAACAGGAACCCTAAAATTGATTGTGCCATATCTCACTCCAACCAATGCTAGCGGGTTGCTAACACCCTTAAAGCCATGTATTTGCCGAGAAATATAGGTTTATCTGTTCAAGAGTATTAAGGTTTTTTTTGGTGTGGTTATTAATAACCATAGAACACTGTATCACATGGAATACTCAATCACGCACAGCGTCATATAAATATAAATATAAATATATATAT